GTGTGTGTGTGTGTGTGTGTGTGTGTGTGTGAGTGTGTGTGTGGAGGGGGGGGGGGGGGGTTTGGGTGTGACTGAGGACCGAGTGGATGTACCCAGAACACTATTTGCGGACCTGGACCCTTGAAACCCCGGGGTCTCTGAAAGCCTAAACAAGGCGAGTACTCCAGGGACAACAATGGAGGATTCATTTTCTCTTTGTTGTTGTTGTTGTTGTTGTTGCTGTTGTTTTTGGAATTGAATATATTGGGGGAGACATCGCTTAATAAAATGAAATGGAATGCCATAGGATAAAATGGAAGGTGTAAATACATAAGAAGCTTTGCATTGTGGATGAAAAGGGGTCACATGCTCACCTGACCCACTCACAGGAGGCCTGGCCTGGCCTTGCAAACTCTGACACCTAAAGTGATCACCCAGGATGTGCTGAAATTAAAAAGACTTTTTAAAGTAGAAAGCAGTGTATAGTGAGTGTGTAGTCACGCCCTAGGCCGGGTATCTTCCCTGAGAGAGATCATCTTTGACCTTACTGGTATCTGAGCTTATTGTCTTTCTATGCCTCTAGAATCACATGTCTTTGGACTCGTGAATGCCACGGTAACAAGTCACTTTCCTTTTTTCCAGTGCCCTCAGAGCAAAGCCCAGGGTCCCAGGATAGAGAACACAAATTCGCTCGTTGCTAGTGTTGTATATTTTTTTAAAAAGCAAGGGACACATGAATAAACAAGTGGAAAATCAATTTCCTCTCCCTCTCCCTGTCCCTCTCCCTCTCCCTTCCACTCAGTGGATAGAGCATTGGCCTACTGACTGAAGGGTCCCAGGTTCCATTCTGGTCAAGGACAGGTACCTTGGTTGTGGGCACATCCCCTGTAGGGGGTGTGCAGGAGGCAGCTGATTGAGGTTTCACTCTCTTTGATGTTTCTAATTCTCTATCCCTCTTCCTTCCACTCTGTAAAAAAAAAATCAATAAAATATATTTAAAAACAAAATGCCAGCTGCCAAGTTACTGGAGGCAAAATGGCGGCTGCCTCCTGCACGCCTCCCCCCTCCCCCCACTGGGGATGGAGCCCACACCCCAGGCAGGTGCCCTTCACTGGACTCGAACCCGGTACCCTTCCATCAGCAGGACGACTCTATCGGCTAAGCCAAACCAGCTAAGGCTAAACTCCGAATTTTGACAGAAAGGATGACTTGTTTATTCCCACACAACTGTGGACAAAAGGGGCCACATGCTAACCCAACCAGCTCAGGGAAGGCCTGCGTGGCCATCGTGCAAACTGAAAGGCCTAAAGCAACCAACCGCAGGGATGGTCTGAAGGGAGACTGTTACTAAGAGCAGTTGTGGTGGGTAGTCGCGTCCTAGGCCCGAGTCTTCCCTGACAAGGTCAGTGTTTACCTGAACCTATGGTCCTTTTGCATCTAAGACACAACATACCTCTGAAATGTCAGAGGAACTTGTAACATCCCGTCAACCCCGCCCTGCCCCCCCCCACACACACACACAAGCAAATGCGCCTGGGCGCCCTGCAGGACAGAGACCATAAATTCCTTCATTGCTATTGTTATCACGTGTGTTGTTGCCTGTTAACTAACTATCCTGTGCCCACCTAAGTAAAAGAAGTAGGTGTGGTCCTGGACGGTTTGGCTCAGTGGGTAGAGCCCGACGTCCACCTTAGGGTCCCAGGTTCGATAAGGGTCCAGGGCGCATGCCCGCCTGGGTGTCGGGCTCCAGCAAACCCCACCAGGGGGCGTGCAGGAGGCGGCCGATCCAAGATTCTCTCTCATAGATGATGTTTCTCTCTCCCACCCTCTACCTTCCTCTTTCCAATCAATAAAAATATTTTTTTTTTTAAAAAAAGAAGTCTGCGTCTATCATTTTAACTTTGATCCAATCCCAGAGGTTTCCCCCCTCCCCCCGTCCTCCCTCCCTCCCTCCTTCTGTCCTTCATCTCTCAACAGTGGATTTCCTGTAACCCACTTACTTCTCCTCCTTGGATTGTCACTTATAAAACAAAACCTGGCGGGTTTTGGTCAGTGGGTAGAGCATCGGCCTGGGGACCAAAGGGTCCCGGGTTTGATTTCAGTCAAGGGCGCAATCCCGGGTTGGGGGCTCGATCTCCAATAGGTGTTGTGTGTTCGGGAGGCAGCGGAGGGGTGATTCTCTCTCTCTTTGTGGATGTTTCTATCACTCTCTCCCTCTCCCTTCCTCTTGGAAATCAATAAAAATATATTAAAAAAACAAAAAGTTAGCTTTACTATTAGGACGGACTGCACTGACCACGACTGGTATGTACTTACGTCTATAATGAAGTCCTGGTAGGGTTTCAGTGGGTCGGAACTATCCGTTGCTTTAGTTAAGTCGTTCCTGTATTTAACTAAAAACAAGCCAAGGTTTTTCTCTTCTTTTGAAATCTTCAACCTCAAATCCAATTTTGTGACATCGTCCTGCACTTTGAATAACGAGGCCAAGAGAGTCATTGGCTTTGGTGAAAATCCTTCAACATTTCTACTGACTTTGTCAAATTCTTCCAAACTTGCATTAGCAGGTAAACCTGTCGGGATAGGAGCATTTTTCACTCGTCTGTGCGGTGGGTACATTTAGTGAACGACACCCACACGCTACACCAGCCACTGCTTTGCTGGTAGAAATGCCTGTGGCCAGGACTCAGTGTTGGTCCAATCTGGTGCCCTCCATCCACAGGGACTAGTGATGGCTGCTGGCCTCACGCCCCTCGCCCTGTACACCAAGGGGAGCTGTAAAGCGTCTGGGTCCATTTACTGGCTGAGCAGGGGGCAGAGATGGTGATCAGGCCCAAGGGACACAACCCAATGCAAACTCTTGGCCACTCACTGACGTGCGACCATAAGACACCCACTCCTTCAGCCCTGGCGGGGCTCGGCTGGTTGGAGCATCACCCGTGCACCAAAAGGACACGAGTTCAATTCCTACTCGAGCATGTATGGGAGACAACAGACCAATGTTTCTCTCTCTCAAAAAACCTTAGAAACAGGTGACGATTTAATAAAAGAGCATCCATCCGCTCCAACAACTGTCTGTATTCGAACTATCCCCAAGTTTCCCCACACAAGATGCACAGATGACCCCGTTCTTTCTGAAAGTAAATTATAAGTTACTAAAAAGCTGCTATGCCTGCCACTCTGAGGGCCTTGCATGTGTTAACTCACCAAACCAGCCTCATTAGAAAGAGGCTGTTACTTTCTCCCCAGGTTTATATTCAGAAACTAACAGTCGAGGAACTAACCCGCGTCACAGAACCGACAAGTGGCAAAGGCTCATTCAAACCCCGGTCTGGCCGCAGAGGCCACTGTACCACTAGCCTACGCTGTGTCTGAGTTGTCCCCCACTCGTGACAAAACTCTCCTACCTTGTCCTCAAAGTTTATTTTAAAATACTCCACTTCTCCTCTGAGGATTCTTCAGCTGAACTAAACGCATGCCCTTACGGAATGCTGAGCCAGCGTTCCACCCGCCCTCAGTGCAGACACGTGCGGCCGGGCCTCACCTATGTAGGGAGCCACGCCGAGGTCGTAGATGAGGTGAACCAAATGACTGACATGATTTCCAACCAGAATCTTTTTCAGTTCCACCCAGATCCTCTCTCCTGATATTCCGCCCAGGCCTTTGGCATTTTCTGCAATTGCTTCCAAAGTCTCAGGGTCGTGGTCACCAGGTTTGTCTACAATCCTCCCATAAAACCTACAAAACAGAATTCTCAATGTATCCCACTGTCGGCACACCAACCAGGAAGCTGTTTCCAACCTCCCGGCACCTTCCCCACCTAGTGAATCACACACACACAACCACCTATGGTCTGTTCTCTACCTTCTCTTTTTTCTACATGAGAAACCCGAAAGCCAATAAAATACGAGTAACTTCTTAAAGCTGGCCAGAACCAGGCCGCCCGCCTCACTCACTTCTGTCACCAAGGGAGTTGGAGGGGCATCCAGCGCAGTCCCTGAGCTGGGACAGGGGAGGAGTGAAAGGGGCCCCTTGTCCAGGCGCCCAAACAAGGCCGAATGCGACCCGAGCAGCCCAGCCCGAACGCTGGCCTGCCTGTCACATTGGGAATGAATGACGTTTCTAATGTGACGCCTGTCCCTGACGCTGGAGTGTTTCACAGCATCTCAGAACTGACCTCAAACCACACCCGTCCATCCATTCACCCTTGGCTACGTCTCCCCTGGAGACTCACTTGGATGTCACCGCTTCGTGCACTGACTACGTACACGTCATGGTCAGAACTGTATTCTGGTAATAACTATCGATTTTAAACATTCTTACCTGAAATATCTTAAAATTCTAAGGTAATCTTCTTGTATCCTCTTTTTAGCATGTCCAACAAATCTCACTTTCTTATTCTTTAAGTCTTCATAACCATTGAAATAGTCATATAAAGTACCATCAAAGCCTGTTCATGGGAAAGGGGAGAGAAGTGACAAATGGGAACTGGGAAGCAATGTGGCAGACCCACAACTGGAGCATCACTCAGCCGTGAATAGGGATAAAACCTGCCACCTGGGGTGTGGGCGGCCCTGCGGGCATTAGGCTCAGGGAGTGAGTCAGACAGAGCCGATGGCAGTGCCCTTGCTTCACAGCCGGCGGGCGGCAGTCGAATGCAGCCACTGTGCCCCGGTCTCTGAGGCAGCCTCGCGGGTGCGGGCATGGGCTGCAGAGCGGGCCAGGAACCAGGGTTCCCCAGGCGGGTACACCAAGGACCGAAGTGAACACATCCCCACGTTACCCAGGAACATCGAGTTGACAGTGAGGTCTCGGCGCTCGGCGTCCTGCTGCCAGTCCGTCGTGAATTCCACCTCCGCGTGTCTTCCGTCCGTGACCACGTCAATCCGCAGGGTGGTGATCTCAAAATTTTCGTTATGCAGCTGTAATTACATGGTTTTCAAAAATGAGGCTTCAGATTCACCGACGGGGAAACAAGGGCGAGTCCTGACATTAGGCAGTTTTCTTCTCAGTCGGCGGGCGCACAGGCACGACACAGAAAGGCACCCAGGACACGCACAGACGGATCCACAGGCTCTTTTCCTAAAAAGATGAGTCTGATACAAAAACGGCCACTGGGACAAGTGATGTGACAGAGGGGAGAAGCCCTTACAACAGTGGATCCTGCTGCTTCTGGTTCAAGCCAGGCTGCTCTCTGAAACCTTCCTGACGGACCCCGTGTGCAGAGAGCTGTGTCAGTTACAGACTGTAACCACTGAGCGAAGGGCGGACAGAGGAGAAACGGGGAGCACAGCGGGCAGCTGCTCGCCCCTCACCAAGGAGGCTGCTGGGAGGCCTCCGTCCACCTTGGCTGGAGGGACCGTCTGCAGCGGTGAGAAGCCGAGTAGCTTCGTGACCGTGACCTGCGCTGAGCCGTGAGAACTCAGCAGGACCTGCGCACAGACGTGCACGAGTGAGAGGAGAGATGGCTGCAGTGCAGTGAGGAAGGGGCGGACGGAGAGAGGGCACTGCCACGGAGCAGACATGGCGGGGGAGCAGCAGGGAGCAGACATGGCGGGGGAGCAGCGCAGGGTCTCACATGCACACGGGCGCCTGGAATCTCCGCACAGGAACTGGGAGCCAAGCGAGCACTCCACGGCTGCTCTGGAATTCCTGTCTCACCCACTCTCCCCTAGGGACAGCTGGTCTCACTCAGAATTCCAGAACTCAGGAGTCTGAGGCACAGGGAAGCGGCAAGAAAAGGGTTTGAAATGTGAAGGCTCTTTGAGACCTGCTATGAAAACAGGGCTCCCAGGACGCCGCCCGCACCAGAGCAGTTAGCCCACGGAAAGGCCGATCAAGAGCAGACACATCTTGGACGGCAGACAGAGAGGATCATGGGAGTGATCACCACGATGAAGTGAAAAAAGTGACCAGGACCTGCACCCCCTCCCCCACTTGGTTTTTAAAACGCCAGACAGCAGGCTATTCTAACTGGAGGCTCCGCAGATTTCCCCCAAAGACACGCCCTACTGATAGGACCAGGTGTGTCAGGTCTGAGTGTGTCAGCTGCGAGCAAAACCATATGGAGAGTTTGTCCAAGGGGGTCTGCAGGCACCTGGGGAGAGATGGAGCGATTAGTTCCTGGGGATGGCAGTGGTAAAATGAGGGGGGTTTCCAGGTGGAGGAAGACCGATTTGTGCAAGCCCAGGGCTGTCCTGACAATCTGATGAAGGCCAGCACCCAGGACACCCAGTCTCCTTTTAGGCTGGTCAAGTTCACGACTTCTCTAGAGCTTCCTGTCTTCAGCTGCCAAGCAGAGCACTGCTCTCTGGAGGGTGACTGGACATAAGGAAAACCCCGGGAACCTACTCAGAGAGCCTCACAGTGTCTAGGTCAAGGGTAGGCATCCGTGAATCTTAAATTTGGGAGTCAAAACCAAGAATGCTCTCAACTCAGGCTTCCTTTTGTCCATTGCTTGGTTCCAGGCACCAAACCTCTGGGCCACAGGAGGCTCTTTCATCTAATGCCTAAAAGGAACAAACCTGGCCCTAGCTGGTTTGACTCAGTGGACACAGCTTTCGAATGTCTCAGTTTCAATTCATGGTCAAGGGCTCAGATCTCTCTTGCAGGCTCAATGCCCGGCCCAGGTTGGGGCATGTGCTGTAGCAACCAATCACCTCTCTCACACATCGGTATTTCTCTCTCTCTCTTTTCCTCCATTTCACTCTTTAGAAATCAATGGAAAAATATATCCTCTGGTGAGGATTTAAAGAAAAGGGAGAGAGTGACCACAGGAAGAATCTGGGGCATCAGCTGGGAGGCCAGTCAGCAGAGTCGACTTTCACCACAAACCACCTCCCACTCTTTGCAGTCCTTTCCCTCCCGCTGCCTTAGCTGCGGAATCCTGCCTTTCCTTCCTACTAATGACCTTCCTGGAGCCCAGGACCACCTCTGACAGATGGGGAAGCTGAGACAGGCTCACGTGTCAGTGGGCCCAGAGCTTCTGTCTGGAAATGCTCCATCCAATGTGGCTTTTCCTCCTCCCTCCCTCTTCCTAAGTCCTGGTCACTTAGATATCTCTCCCTAAGGAAGAATTCACACACCCAGGCTCAATTGGTCACTCATTGAGCCAGTTCTGTTACCCATCCTGACAGACGGATTTTAAAACATGCTTTCTTTGGGTGTGCACAGGATGACACCATTCAAAGCACCTAACAAGACCACTTCCTTGACATTCTGAAGCTGTGTTCACTGTTACACAGCTCACCTGTGCTTCTGGTTCAGACGGCCTCAGAGGAAGGAGGGAGAATCCATGTCGAGCTCCCGGAGGTGCCACAGCCTGAGCATCTGAGAGAGGAATTGGAGAAAAAATTGTTGCTCCTCCTCCTCCTGCCTTTCCCACTCCTGCTCCTCTTCCTCCTCCCACTCCAGCTCCTCCCTCTCCATCTCCTTATCCTACTCCCATTTCTGCTCCTCTTTCTCCTGCTCCTGCTCTTCCCTCTACAACTCCTCTTCCTCCCCAAACTGCTGCTCTTCCTGTTCTTCTTCCTCCCCCTCCTTCTCCTCTTACTCTGCATCACTTCCTCCTCCTCCTCCTCCTCCTCCTCCTCCTCCTCCTTCTCCTCCTCCTCCTCACCCTCCTCAGCCAACACATTGATGTAGGAGATAGAGAGACTCTGCAAGTTACTCATCTGACCCAGGAAGAGAGCAAACATCCCCAGGGTGGGCAGGTCCCAGGTGCAGTTCACTTCCACCTCCTGGATGCAGTCGAGCTGCACCCCATGCAGGACCCTCCTGACCCTCTGGAAGGGCACCTCAGAAATCCTCAGTGTCTTGCAGCACAGGTGTAGAAACCCTTCCCTCTGCTGGGCCCATTGGATGATGTGCATGAAAAACATAACCCCATCCATTTCACTGAAGTTAAGGTCTAGGAACACCTCCAAGGGAGCCAAGGGGTGCTCCATGTTGGGGCTGGAGCTGTGCACAGCCACTGGTCCTGTCAATGAGCAATTCTGGGTGCTGTCCCCACACCACGTTCTCCAGAAGTTGGCACCTGAGGTCCCCGTCAAGCCCCATGGGAGGCGAGGGGGTGGGACGGGCACAGCCTCAGGTCCCAGCTGTTTAGTATTGGGTGGATCAGCAGGTTAAACTCCACTCATCTATCCTCTTTTCCCCCAGAACTGTGGACCTGTTACCGAGTCAGTCCCTTCTGTTGCTCTCCATCAGGATATGACGTTTCTAGTGAATATGGCTGCAGACCAGACATTTTCCAATGGGCGTGGGCATCCCCAGGGCAACCTGGGCTGGGAGCTGCTACCGACCAGACCGCCCCAGGGAAACCTCACTGAAGGACAGCAATGGGACTCTGAGAGGGGGCACGTGCTCTTCAGAGCCTTCCAACACTGGAAGTATGCGGACCCCCTACTGAGCGTGCACACAATGTCTGCTCCTCCGTCACTGGCTGCAGCCGGATGTGCTCACCAAGAAGCAGAGCTTGGATAAGCTTCTGCTGGAGAAATTCATGACCTGCATGCCCCTGGAGCAGCAGGTCTTGGTGAAAGAGAGGCTTGTGCAGAGCTGTGAGGAACTGAATGTCTTGCTGAGAAATAAGGAGAAACCCAGGAAATGGGTGAGTGGGACCCTTATGATGGGCAGGGAAGAGGAAGGCCAGTAAATGTACACAGCGGCATTCTTTAATTTTCTGTGTTTTATTTTTTTAAATATATTGTTGTTGATTTCAGAGAGGGAGGGAGAGAGAGAGAGAAACATCAAAGATGAGAGAGAATCATTGCTTGGCCCCTCCTGCATGACCCTGCATTGAGGATCAAGCCCACAACCCAGTGGTGTGCCCTGGCCAGGAATCAAATAATGACATCCTGGTCCAAAGGTTGATGCTCAACCACTGAGCCATGGTGGCCAGGCCACATTAGCATTCCTGAGATGGACATCTTCGAACATTCTATCTCCCGTCCTGGGGCTCACTTTCCCAATGACCTCAGAATAATCTCAGGGGGTAGACTTGTTGGTTCTGCCTCACGGGTGGGGAAACTGAGGCACAGACCAGGTGCAGGGATGGCGCCTTTCTCTCCAGGGAGCCTCTGCCAATGTTGGGAGACATGTTTGGTTGCCACCATTTGGGAGGTTGTTATTTGATTGATTGATTGAAACAATTCTTTTTTTAAAGAGAGAATGAGAAAGGGAGAGAGAGGCAAACATCCATGTGTTGTTCCACTGAAAGTGTGAGTGTGGAGTAGGACACACGCAAGGAGTATGATACATCCCCGGTCTTGTTTAATTTTCTCCCCAAAGAAGGTCGTCACCTTGCAAGAGCAGAAATATCTTCAGGAGAATTTCTATGTCCAGGTGGCCACAGACAAAGTTGGTGCCACAGACCACGTGTTGGACTTATCCCTGAAGTCCCGATCCCCCATCGGTCAGATGGGGGTACAACCTGAGAACAGCCAGGAGGTCAACGGAGAGCTAGGGTACCAGCCAGGAACCAGTGATGTGGTGTGGGGACAGGTGAGTGTGTGATGCCTTAACCTGGGGGACAGGTGGGCGCTGGTACAAGGGGACTCAGTGACCACAGCTGCTACAGCATTTGGGACATTTGACACAGGATAGAAAGGGACCCATGAATGCATCCAAAGGAAGCATTAACCCCATGGGCATTTCTGAACCAATGTGGTCCACGGGCCAATAAAAATCTAATTTTCCTCTAGGCATTATCAAGAGTGGGGAGAGTGGGGTCCAGAGTTGCTTTGCCTCCACAATTGGAGGCAGCGAGCAGTTGAGATGACCAAGAGAGGCAGCTTAGAGAATGAAGACTAAACACTGTTGCCCTGGCCAGTGTTGGTTAGTGGTTGGAGCATCAGATCCAGGACTGCAGGGCTGTGGGTTTGGTTTCCAGTTCAAGGGCACATACGTGAGTTGCAGGTTCCATTCCCTGCCCAGTTGGGGTGATTGC